GGCTATTTGACAGGGAGGGTTTTGGAGATCCTCCAGCGTTCGTCTCATCCAGCACATATTTCCTGTAGACCTAGTTTACTTCAGCATAACGCTGCTCGATCATGTGAACCCCACTGAACCGAGTGATATCTGAACACGTTCGCCTGTTCAAACTTGATAATACAGTTGCGTTTAACGTGCGTTGGCGGAGTAGTGGTTACACGGTCGCCTCGGATGTCAGATGTCCGGGGTTCAAATCCCGGCACGGCCATTGGATATGCACTGCTCTAATAAGGGCGAAACTCGAGTCCAGTGTTCCCCTTGGTGTGGACTGACCGGAATAATTACGCCAGAACAGGACCATGGCCGTTCAAGCGAGAGTGGTGTGGCTATGAACATAATATCTGGTAACCGTTAAATTTGATGTTAGGAAACAAACACCGTCCTCTGGTCTTGAGGTTTTCAGTCAGTAAAGGCAAACTGCAATCACGCTCAAGTGGGCTTTTCTTTTCTTTTTTTTGAAAAATAAAGACAAACGAGTGTTTAGAATCAGACTGCAAGTGAACAGTCATAACCACTCCGAAATTTCTATGATCCGCGAGGAGTACGCGATATTTATCTAGCTGTGGATTCGCATTATTAGCAAACATAAGCCACCGGTTTCGAATACGCAGTTTACTACACGTGTTGTCGCGATAGAAGTACATTAGGTGGCCCAATCCGATCACTAAATGTATGACTGTATTTCCCCAGTTGCACGTATAACTTGATTTCATGTAGAACGTAATGTTGACGGAAACATGAGGACTACGCCCACCTGGTAAGCCCCAAGATAAAGCAAGCTGGTAATAGACTGTCGTAGATTGTTTATTCATCAGATGAATAGTGTGTTCTGCCGTAAAACATCATACTTTGTTATCTGACTTGGAGGTTTATTCTAATACAACCCTCTATTCTCTATCAGATAGCAACCATCTTTCAGCGGATTAAACTGCGTGCTCTGCGTGGACTGATGAGCGCTCGACGGAGTATGAGAGATTCCCGGATGAGCACGGCCACATCACATTTGAGCCGAAAATTTTCGAACCTTATCAAAAGTCGGTATGAAGGCTATAAACTCCCTCCTTTGACAGAGGGTCAAAAGAAATTGGTGCACTTGTTAACACGAACAACTATTGATCGAATTGTTGAAGCAGCAGAGAGGGATCTCACGGCCACTCGAGAAAGGAGGCGGTTTATTTCCGAACAATACCAACAGCGCCGTCACGACGCTGGAGAGGTTGAAGCCGAGGCCCACGAAGCGGAATTGGCGGCAGAAGCTGCTAAACGGGAGGCGGAAAAAGCTGCCAGAGTTGTGCTTGACACAAAAGAGGGAAGAGCCAAAACCAGCGCAATATCCAAAGCAGAGGAAGCAAAAAAACTTGCTGATGACCTTGCAGCTCGTGCGACTGACCTGAGGGCCTTGGCCATCAAGCGTTTACAAGCTCTCAAAGAGTTTGCGATGGAGCGACACCTGCTGGAAGAGGAACGCCAGGCAGCACGCTGGCTAAGTGAAAGCGATTGGAGGGCCGTAGAACACGCAGCCGCAGAGCTGCGTGCCTACATGAAGCTGCCACGCTTTCACACACCCGAGTACTTTTTGCTTCTTCCGGGAATGTACGACCAGGCCGAGGCGCGTTCCACCATCTACCCAGCCCCAGAGAGAGATCAACAGATAGAGAGCCGCAGCAGCACTTGACTGATTTTACCAAACATTTCGTTGTCTCCAATTGTTGATTCCTGTTTTCCTGGATCTTACCAAGCACAACTAAGTTTGTGGTTCGACTTCCTGTTTCCTGTTCAATGTTGCAGTGCATGTAAGGACTCAGCTACAAGTCTCGTGACTTTTTTTAACATTCGCACTGTGGAGGAAAGGTGAAGGGTTAGAGAGAAATCCCTACATCTGAGGATGCCTTTGCTGCCAGCTTTTGCCGCAGAATTCCGTGTAGAGCGGATAATCGGCAAGAGAAAGACAGCACTCGATCAGAACCCACCTTTTGTAAGCAATATACACCAGAGACTGCTGCCGTTATTTAAAATGTCCAGACCGACAATGATGCTTACACAGACCATGACAGGCCTAGTGTTCGACTAACCGGGTAGATAAAACAACTCCGAAGCCCATGATGGATTTCACTAAGAAACAAATCCTGATGAAAGATTTATAGTATGCAGCGCCATTCCACTGCCGACCAAGTGGGTCTCATTTAGAAGCAAACTAGGCAGCTGGTGTTAATTCTATTCTAAAAAAACTCAGAAAAATCAAAGTTAGTTTCGATTCTGTGGCACGTAGGGGTCATTGGTGACTGAATAACTCTAGCTTCCAAGTCACTTTCTTCCTTTATTTCTCCGCCCATTCGGACAAGACACGCCAGTTGGATAACTGATCTTTAGTACTCATGAGCAGACCAAAAGAGAATATCGGGTGACGTTGACTTTCGAATGTCATGTTTGCAACATAACGACAACAGTGGCGATGAAATCTCTAGATACTCGTCCACGGTGTAACCGGCTGTGGATTTGAAAAAGGTTTAGCGAAGATCACATGAACCGACTGACCCGTGGTGAGCTGTACAATTGCGGTGGTAAGCAGTGCTATTCAATGTGCGTAAATATTCACGCCTAATATGTTTCGACCAATCATGTCTGCGTGAAACCAGCGGGACAAGATCGATAATGCCCGGACGTGGCCGAACAACGGATTAAGCAACCCTGCGTATGTTAGTGAGTGGTTTAAACTTAATATTTTTTAAGATCAAGTCTTCATCAGAGAGTAATTCTCACGCGAGGATGTGACATGACCTCTGAAGGAGAATCGAAGTGTGTTGGAGAGAGCAACTAGTGTTTACCTACTACCGTTCAGTTAGGGTGGTTCCGCCACAATGCAGATACCTGCAAGAAGTGAACAAGCCAGGGATTATGATATCAGGAATGGTGACCGAGTTGTATAGGGCTAATGGACGAGGAGACTGAAAACGGTATTCGGATCAGCAATATATCTTTCTTATACAATACGTAGTAATGTACACTACTGTGTCACCATTATCGTCTTCTATAAACAAGCTGCACTATGTGAAGTACGACACAATCAACTGTACATCTGGTAACCGATCCGGATAAACGACCCATTACGCCATGATATATCCTCTGAAATGACCAAGCTACAAGCCTACCTATTACTTTCCACAACTGTTATTATTAGTATCAGTTACTATCACTAGAGTTTTTATTATTAATATTATTAGTAAACTTGACTGATCCAAATAATCAATCAATCAATGGTACAGAGTTTGCTCAGTCGCACCAAGGATGGAGTGCTGGGTTAGCATTTCTAGTCTGTTCATTGCCTGTCTGTAGGTTCGTTCGTGACCCTAAATTAAGCATTTTATCTGCTGAGTGACATACACCACATCATGTAATCGCAAACTTTGATTGCTCGATTAGGGAACGGAAACTTCGTTCGCATCAGAGCGGAATTTGTTGCAAGGGCCGGTGATTGTGCATTGAGTAGTGCTGCGTGTTTGTTAATATACGTGCTAATGGCTGAAGCTGACCTTCGATCACGACTGGTCGTTCGGTCAGGTGGTTCCATTGGTTGGTTTTTTATCCTGAGTCCTGATTGGTTAGTGATCACGTGGCCTGAGATTGGCTTATGTACTCTCGACTCCGGTCGGTGCTGGGGTGACCCCTGTCCTTGACCACTCTGGATTCCAGTATGTGATCTTTGCTGACCTGACTCCGACATATATGCGACTCTACTCACTGTACAACCACTCACACACCACTAAGCATCCTAACAAGCCACTGATGATGTCATCTCGATTGGTGATGGAAAGTTTGTAATTAAATTGCCGAGCTCAGTGAGTAAGCCAACAGCCGTCTGCGCTGCCTGGGCTACCAACGTTTACCTCAGAAGCTATAACTTCATGCACATTTTCATGGCTTTATGTTGGCTTAAAAAACGTGACAGGCGGTATATACTACTTCAAAACAGCCTTCAAGCATTATAACCAAGAAACAAGACCGAAGCTACAGCAAATGTAGAAAGTTCGCTATTCAATTTATCAGCTATAAACCGTGCAATTTGGGTACATGGTCCCAGCTAGTATTGTGTTGACCGCCGGAACGTAAGAGCGTGGGACAGGCCAAGTTTTGGAGGTGATGGCATGCTGTTAGTTCGGGTTTGGGGTAGCTACTCATTTCAGACGATAGTTTTGATGCACGTGCGCCCCTGACTGAGCGATTCAATAATTTCTGCCAGTGTCATTAACCATTGGTGAGTTGAGTCTCGGGGTCCCTATTCAGGGAGGCAGTAGTTTTGTCGACCAGACTCAGTTTACTGGTTTGCGTTTTCATACTCCGTTACCGAAACACTTGCAGTAGGGTGTAGGGGTGTAGGGAAAGATTCATCAGATCTCTCGAAAGTTGTATATTGTTGCTCTTCACATCGTCATCATTATTGTGAGTGGGAAAACAGCAGCAGTCATCGGTGTATGAATGCCGTACGGGACAGTAATCAACAGACACGATGGAAGGGGTAGTGGCAAAGGTACCAATGAAGAAGGATAGGGGACGCGGTCAGTGACAAAACCATGTTTATCTGCCTTCCTGCATGCAGCGAATAGAGCGCTCAGACCGATGCCACCAATCTAGAACGAGGTTACCTTCAATCTCACCAGTCCCTATTGTGTGATCATCGGTACGAATTGTGCGATTCTGACGGTTTTATTGATGGGCTTACCATATCTCATAGGTTATGTTGGATAGGCGGGTGGCTCCGGTTTGCGGATGAGTCATCCTTGGACCATAGCACCTGAAGCACGACTGCACGGAGTGAAGTCGGACCCAATCTTCACTCCTCCAACACGTGGCGTAAAAGCGCCTCGTTGACGCATTGATTGTGTTGAGGATTGGTCAAATTAGCCAATGAAGCTGACACCACCCGTTAAAGCATGGTGGAATTTGCTACCCCTCAGAACCCAAAAACAATGCTCTGCACAGAATTTTTTTCAAACTACCAAACACAGGTTCAAAGAACTGGCAAAATGACGATTTAAAAAGTTACAGAACTCAAACTATTCAGCTTTGGATGGGGACGCCGAGGACATCAAGCACACCCGTGTTTAGTAGTATTGACAGTTATTGACAAGCCCCACATGCGATGAGGTCTTTACCACCAACTTATCACCAACAATTCGCAGCTATTTCTTCCCGTGTCACCAGGCATTTGAAATTCAAAACAAATTCACCGGTGAAGCCACAACTCCCATATCTTCTCATTATTCGATGAACCAGAAATTGTCTTTGGTGCGAAGCTTAGGGGTGAACAACTGAATTGAGGCATACCAACTCTTTGATACCGCTTTCCCGATCTGAAACAGCCACATTGGTGGTCGGGATTGAGTGCTGCAATCATCCAGCGGGCTACACTGGCTGGAACTTCGTTCCACAACGTAAAACTATGCCAGGAAGGCCAAATGGGAGCAGTCAGACCAAAAGCAGCGAGACCCCGTACCACGAGGCGGTCTGGGGGTAAAGTAATACTGCCCTGTGATGGGAGTGTGAAGGCAGTAAGGTGTTTCCCCCCAGGCCACCAGCATGTCCATAGTTATGGAAGCAGTGATGTTGCCTTCCCCCGAGGAAGGACGGGTTACAAAAGGTCAGCCCCGAAAACCGCACACTCCGATCGCCCAAGCGCACGCAACAGTCCCAGGAGAGAGACAGCGATGTCTTAGTTACTGTGCTCCAGCGTTTGGCCAACACTCTGCAGCTGACCACGTCAGATTGCTGACTCATCAGCTCTGGGCAGGGTCCCCGAAGAAAACCCTGCTGTTCGCTGCCTCGCGGGTCAGAGGCTAGGGTCAGGGTCACCGAACATATCCCTACATCCTCTCGCTGCCTTGTGGGTCAGACTTTTGAGTCAAAGGCTCAACCAAACCCAGTTCCCCTGGTTGGGCAACCGGGAACTGTCATTTGCCCGCACAGTTCTGTGTCCACCGATGTCCCTCCTCAACCCCTTCCCACCGCACAAGCAAACGTCGCTAGGCCATTTGACTGTCAGTCATCTGACCGAAGGGCCTTATGCTTCTCGTTGCCTACAAACATTAAACAAAATAACACCTTTCTAGATCCACGAGATCCTTTCTATATAGGAGATTTTAACGTCCGTACTCTATGTCAAATTGTTAAACAGGCAATGCTTGCTGAAACCTTGCACCCCCTTAAAATTGATGTACGCTGTGTCTCCGAAACACGCATACAATACCCAATCGTGGTTACGTATCTCAGAACGCCAAGGATGAAATCAGCTCTTTCACATTTCTCTCTCTGGTGTCTGGTGACCCGTAAGTGATGACTCGTGGAATATATGGCGTGGGAGTTGCACCCAGTCCCAGAGCTGAACGCTCCCAAGTGAACAGTCGTTTTAGCGCCGTCCGGTTATCCACCTCAGTCAAGCTCAGTTTCTAGGCATAAGACGCGGTGCCTGTTTGTAGTGTCAGTTTATACGCAACGCACTGCAATTTTAATGTTGAGGATACTTTCTATCGGGAGCTATGCCGGATCATTAGTCAAGCGAGAAACACTGACACTGTGACCCTTGCAGACGATGTGAATGCTCGAGTAGGTCGTTTGAGCTCCATGGAATAACGTTTGGGCGGTCAATTCGAAGTCGATGCTCGCCGCATTGACAACAGAGGGTGATTCTTTTAGCCGTGTACTGATCATAAACTGTCTGGCAAGTACAAATATTCAACATAAAAGTCCGCATCGCAAAATCTGGCGTCCGCGAACTGCAAATTAACCGTGGATCCAGTTGCATCACGTGGCCATCAGCCACCGGTGGAGAGCCACAAGACTGCGGGCACTCCACTTGATTCCGATCACTCCATGGTGGACAAACGTCTGACAGTTCGCTTCCATTCAGGTCCTCGCAAGTCAGCAAGAAGCATGCCAATCAGCTGTCTCCGCACAACAGTTTCGATTTGAACCAGCCCAACGACTCTCCGCACAGTAAACCAATGTGGTGGCAATGAGTATATGGATACGGTCTGGCAAAATGTGAAAGGAGTAATGCTAGCGGCATTCAGTGCTAAATGTCCGACTTTTCCAATTCGACCACGCGACCAGTTGGTGTAGGCGAGATCATCATTCATGAGTGATGCCAGGAAGTACAAACCAGCAGGCAACAAGTACGACGGCGCACGCTAATCCTTCAAAACCAAATAGTAGAGAGCTTAAGAAAAGACCAAGAGCTCTGGTGGACATTGAAAGCTGGAGAGATGAAAAAGGTTTTTGCTACGGGAAATAGCCGTGCCCTAGATCAACTGCCACGATCGACTGGCAACGGTTAGATGAAAAAAAGGTGGCCGATTAATTCACTCGCAAAACCTCGAATGGAAATATGGACCGAACAATTTGAAGAACAGATTAGCTGGCCTTCTGCAAGCAAGCCTGTGGAGATAGTGCGTACGGACGAATAGAATGCAAACCTTGATCAACTTGAAGAAATATGGTAAGAAATACCCGCATTAAAACGTGAGAAGCACCAGGACCGAGGGGACTCTATCCAGCCCTCTCCAAAGAAGGCGGAGAATCCGTGATGACCCATCTAACAAAATGAATTGGTGCGATATGGAGTGAAGTGCCTTCAGAATGGGGCATGTCGACATCCCTATCTCCAGAAAGGGTACGCGGACACTGTGTGAAAACCACCGTCCAATCGGCATGCTAGCTGTGGCATCGAAGGTGTTCTCTGGTCTTATCCTTCGAAGGTTGACTGAACACAGGGACAGACAGATCTGTCAAAACAAAACGATGCCTCGATGCGATCCATAATGCCGTATGGAGGAGAAAGCTGGCCACCGCGCGCCGAGGACTTCAAAAGATTTTCATTGTTTGACCACCGATGTCTTCGGAGCATTGCTCGAGTCTGGTGGGAACACCTGATAGGCAATGCTGAAGTACATCGAATGGTTTTCGGAAGAAATAACTCACCCACGATAGATGAACTAATCACACTGCACAGGTCGCGCTGGCTTGGCCACGTGTTGCGTATGCCAGTCGACCGACTTCGTCGAAAGGCTCTATTCGCGCAACCACATGAAGGGTGGAAACCAACCATTGGAGGTCAAACAATGACTGTACAGCGAAGTATGGAAGCCATTACCATCAAACCCAGCTGCGTTTGTTATTGCTGTCTCCCTGGATGGGGACTCCGAGACGGGCCACATCAATGGCTAGAGACATTGTCAGGCATGGCCCAGTAGGACCCTTAATAGCACTCGTGCATACATCCCTTCCCAATTCCCCCACTTAACAGTCCACTGAGAGTCTTGTATTTAGGCACCAACTTAACAACTCCGGCCTCCAATGTGCAGCTACCACCACTGTACGACAAGTACGCTGTGCTTACAGCTGATAATTATGGTGCTTTCAGGTACCTTATCTCGGTCATACTTGACTTCAACCCTTTCATGGTTAGATCGAAGTTGCATGTTTGCGCAAGGCCGGATTTTCGACACCAGGAACTACTAAGATAAGCAATCAATTAAACACTTTCTACTACTTGGGATTATCGTTTGCGAACGTTTAGCCATAAATAGCAAAGTCAATTCTTCGGGCACAAGCACAAGCAAGGAATGCTACTGGGTAGTTATTAGAGGCGTCGGACTTTCCGCTCACACCATTCAAGCGTGAACATGTTCACGTTTTAAGACGTAAAAATTTAGATGCATCCAGTAGTGGGAAGGCGCTCGCCTCGCATGTCAGACGTGCGGGGTACAGGATCCAGCAGGGCCAGGGTTATACACTGCTGAAGAGCTCCAGTGAGAGCCCAGTCTAATCCAGAGTTCAAGTACAGTGCTTTCCTCTTTGGCGTGGCCACACGAAAATGATTGCCCGAGGACAGGAGGACGATTGTTCACATTAGAGTCATGTGTGTGTATCTTACAAATCCCGCAACCACCAGCAACTATAACAAGTACAGTGACCACAATAAAATATAGTACTTGACGTGAATTAAGTAGACGGTAAATTAGGCCCACTTCGTCGATGGACGAGATGAAAAAGTGCGATTTTGCAGAATTGACCGAATTCCTGTGCAATTTCAGTGGCATCAGTTTAGTGAAGTCATATTATTCGGTGAAAATTTTGGTTGTATGCTCGCAACATAGCTTTGTCAATTTTCAAAAACCGGATAACAATCCAGTTTACAAACACCAAATCGTAGCCTCCGTTCCAATTCCGGTTAAGCGCTGAAGCTTTTCGAGTTGCACTAGTTTTTCTAAGCTTTCCTTCATTTATATGGAAATCCAAAACATCTTGAGCGCCAATGTTTCATCATTAGTTCAGCACACGCAAGACTTGACCCCGATCTTTCAAGTCCTAGAGGATCAAACTGAGTTTTACGTTCCATCAAGAACGAGGTCGGTAACTGAAATCGGCATGGGTGGTAGCTGGACCAGAACTATGACAGTTTCATTCACTCCCACCGTGATGTGGTGATTCAACTGATATCCACAATGGGAAGTGGTGCATCACACCCGCTCATTCTGGTCACGATACAAGCTAAACGGGCAGTGAACAACAGAGTTTGAATCAGGTTATATGTTTGAACATCTGAATGAGACGCTGAATGATTTGCGTTTTAGATAAGATTGCCACTGGCACTATGTTAACCAGGGGAACGATAAACCGACCAGGTCAGCGTCTACTTCTACCATCTATTGTATCCGAGACCAAAACAACGATGACTTTTACCTACAGGCACAGTACACGGAAGCGTGGATTGGTGAGTTAGTGAGGGTGGAGTGCGTTAACAAATAGGCAGTGTGGCAGCACAATACAATACCACCTCCTAGGTGCGAAACAGGACATACAGAGACTCGATTCTCTTCCACATACACGTCCATGAACTTCTCGGTAATTTTAGCACCAGATATCGTGGTAGACAACGTTACTCAGGTTTTTCTCTGCCTCCGAGCAACAGCACATGACCGCAAGGTCACTACCACAATCAAACGATTGCTGCACTGAAGTGCTCTTGTGTTCTGAAACAAAACAAACAAATCGTCCAGCTGTAGCACCCTTTCGGTGCCTAACTGCCATGCCACCGGAAGGCAGTACTATAACTGGGATACTGCCAGGTTGCCCAAACTTAGACAGGGGATGCCGAGGGGCAGAGGTCGGGTTCGAATCACGGACCTTTCGGTCAGTAAATTCGCGCTCTAACCACTCGGGCCATCTCGCCCCCTGTGTTCTGAAGTGATCCTGTAGTGGTTCTAGGAGTATGGTGGAATGGATCAGAACATAATTTAATGCTAGAGAAGAAGACGAAAATTCCGTTAAGCGTCATGAATAAGATGGCTTTATCACAACATATGGAATACATGAAGATATCAACCTAGCTATGACAAGTGAAACGTAGATTATCAATAGTAATAGAATTTTCAAGTATCATCCAGAAGGATAGCCAATCCGGCTGTGGACTTCAAGGTCCTATAGAACCTAAACTAGACCAAAGCAAACAGGTTCTCTACATACCAGTACCATACCGCCGCAAATTACTGTATACTGCTCCAAAGTTAGGGGGCGAGATGGATCAAGTGGTTACAGCGCGAATTTACTGAATGGAAGGTCCGTGGTTCTCTCTCGACTCCACCTGTCTAGGCTTGGGCAACCTGGCAGTATCCCAGCCCTCGTGCTTCCTTCGTGTGGCACGGCAGCTAGGCACCGAAAGGGTGCTACAGCTGAACGATTTTTTCCCCAATGTTAACTACCGATTCCTGAGTTCAAAACATCCCTTGGGACACGGGGGATGTGCGAATGAAATCGTTATTAACAAAACCTCTCCTCGCCCAAGAGTTGAGTGTGACGTGGACTGTGAAGAACGACAGAAGTTTTCAATTTTATTTACCGATAGAGAAGGTACGAATTCGTCAAGATTTACGAGGGCGCTTGCTCAATCGTTTTTTAAAAGTAGGAGATGCGGGTGTATCCTTCGAAGAGCGGAGAGTGCTGGTTTTGGAGGAACGTCTAGATGTGCGAAGAGGACGGCTCTTTGACGCAGACGCAAGACGGGGAGATTTGGGGTTTGGGCCATTTGACGAGCGTTTTGATTTAGCATCGGTTGACTTTTCCAGTTCCGCTTCGGAAGATGATGTATCAGTATTATTCGCGTGCTGGTTAGTCCACATGAGTAGATCCAGTTCTTCATCAGATTCCTCAGACTCCTAAAACAAGAAAGATGACATAAAAACACAACAGTACAGCCTTAATGTTCAACTTATTCCATTCGTCAGGACACTACAGGGAGTGGACTGGTTCATTCACTACCAAAAATGTTTTGCTGGGGGAAATCAAATAAAGGAAAATGGAAATAGCCTATTTGGTGATGCTTATGATTGTCTAATAAAATAGCCAAGACTACCGACATAAGGGAAGACAGAAAGCAGTTCCCGATGTCAAAAACACTGCGTTTCCAGCCACAGAGCCTTTTTCCATTGGCTTTATTCGTGATGAGGCTCGAGGCTAAGCAGAAAAGAAGGGGATAGCCGAATAGACGTGTAGACATTAGTAACTAATTGGCATGGCTCGAGTGTTTATCTGCTCAAGTTGTTATACCAAAGCTATCCACATATTCATCACGTACGTGGTAATCACAGAGTCTCTCCCAACGGGTGGGCGTGTAGTTAAAGGTCAGACTGACACAGCTTTCTGGTTCTTCAGGTTTGGGTTTGGAGTATGTGTGGCGACTTGCTAATTCAAAATGTAGACTATTCAGGCTTGCTCACATCAAATACCGCTACCTTGCAGAGAAGATCTTAAGCCAGAAGCTCGAGTTCAAGGCTTAACCGTCCTCCAATCTAGGTCTGTACGCCGTGGCAGTACTCTAACTCACGAACAACGACGAACTTTTAGCACTTGTAAACTGCTCTTTTTCATGCTCAGTATCATCTTCTTTTTCCTATCATTATCAGTCGCATCGCTGTACTGAAATACAACCGCTACCGCCACATCAATGGCTAGAGAGATTATCAGACATGGCCCAACCGCGCCTTCAATGGCGCTCGTGCATCGAAGCTATCGCCTTCAATGCATAGCTCTTTTTCCAACCCCCTCCCACTTGACAGCTCACTGGCAGTACTGGATTTATGAACCAATTTACCAGCTCACGCGTGCAATGTGCAGGAACCTCCCCCCCTCCCCCCAAATCATCGGTGAACGAAACTGCGGCGCTACAACCACTGTACGACGAGTATGCGGTTCTTACAGCTGACGATGATGATGATGATGATGGCCGCCCGCTTGTTGGCTCCAACGTGACTTTGAAACTTTTGCTGAGTGGCTGTTGTTGTGACCGCCGGTTGGCTATAATTGACTGCTACTAACACTAAGCGTGAACAAACATTTTAGCTACAAACACTGGACTAATATATTCACACTTGTGGGTTAATATTTCGGTCAACGGAGATCTGGAATACCAGGAAGATACAGCTATTCTTGGTGTGGTGGTTCAAAGGAATACGGAACTACGGAATCTCCTATTTTGAACTGTGAGTCAAGATTTACTTGGATTCTTCTCCTTGTGACTTTGTATCTGACTTACATTAGTAATTTGCTCTGTTCACTAGAGACTCCATAGGGCCGTAAGCCACTACAAACTGCACAGTGATATGTGATCTCATCCCACATCGATCGTCGAGTTGAGTCATCACCCGGATCGCCTTACTTGCTGCATAAAGTGGGACAGGCAAGTGAAAAAAGACTACACCTGGCGCCTCTCACCTCTCCCTTTCATATACTCGTTCGGCTCCTCAACGTGTAAAAAATCGTTCAGCCGTGACATCCTTTCGGTGCCTAGCTGGCATGCCACTCGAAGAAGGCACGAGGGCTGGGATAATGCCAGGCTTCCCAAGCCTAGACAGGGAGAGTCGAGAGGCAGGGGTTGGGTTCTAACCATGAACTATTCAGACAGTAAACTAGCGCTCTAACCATCAAACCAGCTTGCTCGTGAAACATGTGCACTTAGGGAGGATATGAGGCATTTTCAGGTCTTTGACTAGCGACGTGTCAGGACTATGGTTGAAACTGCCTGAAACCATCGAACTCGGAAAGAAGTGATCAGGAAGTAGGTGAAACAGACGGCACTCCACTCAGAGAACACATTCAGCGCTGCAAGCCGAAGTGACTGGGCTACAAAATAGGCATGCCGAATTGCCAACTGCCGAAAAGAGCATTGTCTTCTGTGCTTAATTCGGAGTGGCGGAAACCTAAAGACGGACAGCATACGACATTGCGGAAAGGACTGACAAGTGTTACGAGATGTTTGGGCCTTATTGGGGCTGTTCGCCTTCAAGAGTGGGGTTCAGGTGACCCAACCCACTGTGCCTAACTGGAATGAGTGATATGGCGGCTAGCCGATGTCAGTGGCGCTTGTGGTATCAGTTTCTATACAGATTACTTGAAGAGGTGTTGGAGGGGTAGGCATCATCGGATGCTTGTGGTAGGCTAGCCCTAGGTCCCTCTCCTATCCATTCTCTTCTTCACATTATAAGGCATTAATTAAATAAATTAACACGGTTGTATGGTAGTGAAGCACCAGTGTTTTTCTCTGATGTTGCTGTCAGTGATAATGAGAATGATGGTAGTAACCCACTTCTCTGTGAATGAAACGGACCCAAAAAAAGTGTAATAATCAATACGCCACCAGTTCCAAAGACAGACCAGCGCTATAAGGGAGCGTAATTGAACGCTCTTGAGGGGAATAACTGCTGTCTTTAAGGAGACAATCACACTCAAAAAATCCAGGGGGAGGGTTTGTTGTGGTAAACGGCCCCCCTCACCTTAGGGGCTATCTCTTTGGAAGACATTAATATACTTCGTTCGCCAAACTGTTCAATCAATAAACCGAAACTTGTGATGACACTGCTACTCAGCAGCCTGTGTAAAAGTGCCATCAATGATCTTCCATGAGGAACTGCGGTCCACGTCGTTCCGCAGTGGAATTTACGGAAATGGGGTACGCCACGAAGCAGATCTGATTTCCAAAACAGGCTATTACACAAACTATAGTTTCTAAGTACTAAGAGGGCAAAACATACTAACTTTATCTGTTTCATTCGGTGGTTCATCAGAATGTTCTTCCTTCGGATGACCGTCTCCCTTGGATGCCCGGTTTTGGAACAGAAGACTGGAATCAATAGGATCGCTAATCCAATCATCAGGATCCGGAATGTGATTGTGGGAACCATGGATGGATGTCTCATCAGAGGAGCCTGTTTCGTTAACGTCAAACACTCCATGGTCGGAATCATAGTTGGTCTCATCAAGTGCATCATCAGCGGCATCTTCATCCTCCTGCTCGCTCATGTATTCGTCCGTATTCGTGTCGTCACTGCCAGAGGAATCCTCTGGCTTCAAATAGCATGATGCTAGCTGAACTTCTCCAATTGCATTGTTTTTCTGCTTTTGTCGTTTAGACGTTCTTGCCTGTCGTTCATTGGATTCATCGTCCGAATCTAAGTGGGAAGTAAAACAACAAAAAATGATATAGCGTGGGCTTTATTGAAACTTTTAGGATATAATCTTTGGGTTATTAAGATAAGATCTTGGGAGCGGTTACGTTATATGAAAAAAGAGAACAGTCGTTTCTAGGTTTGTTGTGCCAGTTTAGAAAAAGTTCATCGATATATTGTCTCCTCTTTCGACCTGCAATGAAAAAAGGTCATTTTTACATATCAGTGGAGAGCTACTAAAACGGGCAGGTGAAAGGATGATGTTGAACGTTAAACAGTGAGGCCGGCTCTGGTACAGATATTTATGGTCTGCGACGCATGACGTTTTGGGTAATTGAGAAAGTGGTTGGTTGGTTTACTAATCTGATTTTCCGCTCTGAAACACCATCGGCTTGGTGGGCATACTTACGCGTCTTCTCCGACTGCTGCAAAGCATTTCCGCAGGCTCTGTAGTAAACCTCAAGAAGGTGCACCTTCCATTAGACGCGAGGCAGAGTTACGCTACTGCTTTGCATTGCGATTTTCAGATCTACACCTTGCTTAGCCATTGAGAAGCTAGTGGACTCAGAAATCAAACCGGCTAGTCAAACGCCTGCAGGACGGTCGGATATAGGATATCAACGACCACTGGGAAAACATATCCAAAGCGTTACCCAGAGACGGGGACTCTGTTTGTGGTACAACCCAGCCAATCTCATCCAAACAGTGGATCCCTGATAGGACCGCGTTTTTGCTGGAGGATCCTGACTGCAACCGCAACTCAACCCGACGCATCACCCGATACGAGGGGATGTCATGCAGACCGAGAGGCTTTGTGGACCCAAAAGGCCAAAGAAATGCAAGATTAAAGGGTGATGGCAAAGTCCGCAAGCTGTTTCACTTGATTCATTCAACTAGTCCTTGCAAGCCTCTTGTCAGGAACCACAATGGCTGTTAGATATCTAGCAAAGCAAAACTTTTGGATCGCTAGGCACAGTACCTCGAACAGCAATTCAGTTGGCCACCTGCCATTCCCATTCCGGAATCCTGGTCGTCAACAGAAAGGTGGGCCGTGGATATGCAGCCGCCTTCAACCTCACGAGTGTCCGAGTGTACATCTCTATTCAAGCGTCACCATGCTGCTGTTCCTGACGACATTCCACTTGCTGTTTTCAAGGATTAAGGCCGTGAAGCATCAGTGGCAACACTGATATTGCTGTCTTTGATGATGATGATGATGTTTTCAAGGATGGCTGTGGATTCCTCAGTCAGTGCCTGTCTAGCCTGTTTGGGTCTATCTGGGAGAAAATCATCCCAGACAACTGGGGTGAATCGATAGTGGTGCCCATTTTCGAAAAGGGCACTCGAAGTGAGTGTAGTAACCAGAGGCGTTAGTTTGACGCCTGTTGTGACGAGGCTTCTGCCATCATTGTCTCTTTGTCGCCTTACGGAGGCAAACGAAGCCTTGACTCGTGAGAATCAAGCGGGATTTCGACCGTACAGAGGCTGTGCTGACCACATGTTCACACTCCGTCAGGTGTAGAGCGACCTCACATGTACAGACGACCCATAATCTTGGTATTTCTTGACTTCAAGGTTGCGTTCATTCTGTCAATCGGTCAGTGCTATTAAGAACATTCGCTCATCAGGGTACACCCCAGGAGTTTGTGAACTTAAACCGATTCCTATATTCACACACCTCTAAGCATGTGGGTGTATGGTGAGTTCTCCCAAATCCCCCCTAAAAAAAGTGGTGTCCAACAAGAATTTACACTCCGTTCTTGTTCAAATCCACCATCAATGAAATAATGGTGCGAGTGCTGGAAGGTCTCGAAAACCCCGGTGTTCAGATTGTTGCCGGTGAGAACATTGTGCAGAAGACACCGTCCTCATCTTTGAAGACCAAGGCGATGCACAAGCCCTGTTTGACAGACCGAGCACTGTCATACCATCTTCCAGCATGAGCTTAGCACCTTCAAAGATGCAAAGCCATACTTCAGAACGCACAGTCGCTTAACATACCCCTTAGAATTCAAAGAGGAACACCGGAGGTTGTGGAGAATCTCACATACCTCGGTAGTTGTATTAGCTCTGATGGAAATGTGCGCGATGGAGTCAGTGCAGGAATTTCAGAGGCTCGAGTCACTTTTGCCATTTTGCATGATTGCTGACGCCAAAAATGCATATCACTGGGCCTTAGGAGTCGCGTGTACTAGGTTATGGTAAGGGATGTTTTGGTGTATGGCTACGAGACGTGGCCTCTGCGGACAGATGACGTGAGACAAGGTGTCCCCGTGATCCTCTCGTGCTTGACTGGAGACGTTGTAAGAAATGGCGGCTGATCGATGTCAGTAGCGGTCGTGTTATCAGCTTCTTTATAGATTGTCTGATTGAGCGCTTAGAGGTGCAGGCACCTCAGAATACTCGACTGGGCCAGGATTAGGTCCCGTCCATCCATTCCTTTTCTCTTTGAACCCTAAGGCTTTAAATATGATTAGATGGACCTTACGGTTGTACGGCAGTTAAGCACCAGTGTCAACACTGATGTTGCTGTTTCTGAGGATAACGATGATATTTTGCCTAGTCTAGCATTAAAAGGGGGTTTGTCTGACGTCTCCAATTTAAGCCTCTGCCTCAAAAGCATGGTCGACAGGGGGTCTATCCCACAACCAACAATCTGACCCACTTAGCCGGATATTTGCCTAAACTGATCTTTCCCAAATCGCCCTTCCTTGGGAGAAGGCAACATCACTGCCTCCATAAAGATGAACATGCAGGTCGCTTGAAGGAAACACCTTACTGCCTGAACACGCGTATCGCAGAGGACAGTACGAATTTACCTTCAGACCACATCGTAATACGATTTCCTATAGTAAGGGGACTCGCTGTTCTTTATCGAGCTACTCCCCGTTGACCTTCCTGATATAGTCGAGCCGTTAGGAAGAGTTCAAGCCGATGTAGCACGAAGATCATTGAAGCACTGAGACCACCAAAACAGGTGATAGCTTAAGGTCGGAAGGGAATTCAAGAATAAGCGATAAATATTCATCCAAGTAGCGTTTACACTTAGTATACTTAGAGCATATTAAATGAACATTCGTGATGTACAAACTTATTTGGATGCACATCGCCAGGTCAACCATCTGTGCCTACCTCCCTGAAGAGAGTGAATTCATACTTATTATGTTATTAAACCATCATCATTCCATTACTATGCCTTGCAAGAAAGGATGAGCTAGCTATGCGGCATTTAAGGTGATCGATGGCCTTGCGCTGATAACTAATGACCACCCTACATTTAGGGTTCGTTTCCGGTTGGCATGGCTTTCCGTGGTGATCCAAAAGAGAAGAGCCAATTTTGTAGTGATAACGTTAGAAAACACAGTTTGCGTAGCTGGTTGGCATGTTTGCTGTAAGTGATGAGAAGATGCTACATCTTTCAAGCGGTTATCGAACAAGATAAGTACTCACTCTGTGCTATAAGCTTCCCGCAAAAATCGCCAGATTAGAAGTACTCGTTCTCTGGAGCGAGCAGTCGAACCACATCTATATTACTATATTACTACTACTATATTAGAACCATGACCTACTAAGAAGTTCCGCGGAGCAGCACACACATGCCAAGGATTTAGACGTGGAGAAACGGGAAAGGGGGCTGGCAACCTATATCGGTGCATACAAGCAGAACGAATAGGCAAGCTGTCTGCAACCAATTCACGGTCAAACCGCAAGATAACGGATACCTTAATGGGCCTGTTTGCTTCACGAACTTCAATCGATATCTCATTGTTCAATAATCAAAGGTTAACTTTACGCTGTGATACTGTGACGACATTATAATCAAGTGGCTTAAAAGACTTAGGCCTGAGGTTAGAGTTAGAAGATAACAAGGTTTATTATTAACGCCTACACCTATTGTCATACTTTTGTTGCACCCCAGAACACAGGTATTGTCTGGCCACGGTCAGTCGGTCTGACCTAACGAAACGACGCTGGACTATAGTTGGGAGGTTCGAACAGTCATCTGCTGAAAAGCAACTGTAGTGATGCTTAATTTAAGGAACCCACTGCGTGCATAACATTGGAGAGGCGTAAAAACCGTGCAGCTATTAAACGACAAAGACGAGAATCATCCAAACACATTAATCGGACCGCCTGAGAAGAATATGAGCTCGAGATAGCTCAATGGTTGGTGAGCAACCGGAAGGTCCATGGTTCGAACCCAACCTCAGCATCTCGACTGCTCCTGTCTGGGCTTGAGCAACCTGACACTACCTCAGCCCTCTTGCTTCCATCGGGTGGTACGTCAGCTTGGCACCGAAATAGTGTTACACCTGAGAAACTACAAACACTACTCGGAAGAATATTAAAGTGGAAGGGAAAAAGGTGCATAAAAGCAATGACAACTCACCATCCACATAGACATAACATGTGGACGGAATCCCAACCAAACCAGAGTAACAGAATCTTTGAGGAACGACATGCCCCATTGCGATCTTCTCCGACCACTTCTCTGTAATCGTGCCACGTAAGGCAGCTTGGGTGTAAAGGTCCTGGAGACCATAAACTTCGGCCGCATAGGAAAGAAGAGGCTGACAAGCCTGAAGTAAGCTGGAGCTAAGTGGGAATCGGGGTGACGAAGGCGAGAGAAGTAGGTGCTTTAACCATGCGAGTGCGTGATAGGTCCACTGCGGATGCAGTTCAAAAGTGATGAATCTGATCAACACTTGAACCAACTTCTGCAGGTGGACTTCGCTCTTGACTACGCGGTTAATTGTGGTAGTCATCCATTCGGGGTCGATACGTTGAATAAACACCTAAGAGAAGCAGGTTAATTAAAAATGAACATAGGCTACTTGATTGAAGTTCTCTGCATTGACAAGCAAACCATCGAGGTCTGTCAGAACCACGCTGCGCTGTTTGATGCGCTACAGAGCCCAATTAGCCTATGCAGTGGTGCTTACTTCCGACAAGGAGACTGACATAGCAACGCAATGTTCTGATGGAAAGCACGTAACACCGGAGCTGGAACGAGAAGAGTGCATTCACTAACCTGTTTTATGGGAAAAACCAGTGGGTATAACAAAAGTTTACATTCAACAACAAAAAATAGGCGTAGAACATCATCATTGACAGAACATCAGCTTTAAGAACCTGGTACTTGTCGTACAGTGGTTGTAGCTGCCAGTTTTGTCCACCGATGATCTGGGGAAATAGGATAGATAGCTGAGCGTTGCCGGCTGGAGTTGTTAGATTGGTGCCTAAATACAGGACTGTCAGTGGACTGTTAAGCGGGGGGATTTGGAAGGAAGCTATATATTGAAGGCAACCGCTTGGATGCACGAGCACCATTGAGGACGCGACTGGGCCGTGCCTGATAATGTCTCAAGCCATTGATGTGGCCCGTCTCGGGGTCCCTATCCAAGGAGACGGCAACGACCAGCGCAGCTGAGTTTGATGGTGGTGGCTTCCATACTTTTCTGTCAATCCATTGTTTGACCTCCAATGGTTGGTTTTCATCCTCCACGTGGTTGTGCGAAAAGAGCCTTTCGACGAAGTCGGTCGACTAGCATACGCAATACGTGTCCTGGTTAGAGCGACCTGTGCAGTGTGATTAGTTCATCCATCGTGGGTGAGTTATTTCTTCCGAAAACCATTCGATGTAATTCAGCACTGCTTATCCGGCGTTCCCACCAGACTCGAGCAACGCTATGAAGATATCGATGGTCAAAAACTGGAAGTCTTTTGAGTCCTCTTCGCGCAGTGGCTAGATTTCTACTCGGTATGGCAATATGGATCGCACCGAAGCATCGTAAACTCGACTCTTGACAGTTGAACCGATGTCACACCTAAGCCACAGGTGGTGCAGCGCCATAAAGGCTGCTATGGACTTTTCAATCCGCATGAAAATATCACCTTTCACGAACTGCCGGGACTGATACAGCTGTCAAGGTAGACGAACCTGTCTACTACCCCAATCGGCTCATCCACACGCATGAGGTTAGGGTTCGAGCCTACCCGGTCTTGCAGTTGCACTTTGCACTTTGGTGATGTGAAATGCATGCCAAATCGTGAGAGGGAATTACTTAAATTATTTAAAATTGTTTGGATTACCAAGGGGTCAGATCCAAGGAGAGCTAAGCCGTCTGCGTATTCGGTATCTGAGCGGACGCCCCGGGTGTAATACGACCCCACAGGCACTAGAGACTGATAGTGAGTCATCTATTATCGTATCAGTGATGAAGCTAAAAATGGAAGGTGAAAGAGAACATTCTTGTCTGATACCATCTGACGTGGTGAACTCAGAAGAGAGCATACCGTAGACCTACACACGGATGTAGTAGTTGGCGTACAGCGCATTAAGGAGGGTCAATAATCTCTGGGGTACACCTTTGCTCAACAGCGCCTGACGGTCTACAGAGTCAAAAGTAACTTTCAGACCAGGGAACACAAGCATTGTTGGTTGCTGGAAGCAGTGTCACTGTTCCAGAATCTGTCGTAGGGTGAAGATGTGATCGATGCATCCTCCTGGAGGACGGAATCCAGCTTTGTTTTCACGGATCTGTCTCTCTCTGTGTTCAGCAAACCTTCGAAGGATAAGACCAGAGAGCATCTTCGATGCCACAGCTAACAGGCTGATGCCACGGTGGTTTTCACACAGTGTCCGCGTACCGTTTTTGGAGACAGGGGTAACTGTCGACATGCCCCATTCCGAAGTCACGTCACTCCATATGGCGCCAATTCGTTTTGTTAGCGTTGCGAGAGTCGAGTAGTTCCAGGACGAGATTAGAAGGAAGACAGAATGGAAGGGCGTAATGTACGACTGGATAGTCCAATAATGGTAGTAAATGAGCCGAAAATATACAGTGGGAATTACGAGTTAATGGTCTGTGCAAAGGTATGGTTTATATAATCATGACAGTTAGATGGGTCGTCAGGGATTCTCCGCCTTCGTTGGGGAGGGTTGATTACAGTCCCTCGGGTCCTGGTGCTTTTCACGTTTTAGTGCGGGTATTTCGTACCATATTTCTTCTTCAAGTTGATCAAGGTTTGCATTCTATTAGCCCGTACGCACTATCTCCACAGGCTGTGTTGCAGGAGGCCCGCTAACTATTCTTCTCTTGGTCTTTCCTTAGGCTGTACACTATTCGGTGTCCGAAGGATTTGCGTGCGCCGTCGTACTCGTTGCCTGCTGGTATGGATTCCCTGGCACCAGCCATGGATAGTGATCTCGACTGCATTCACTGGTCATGTGGTCGAATTGGAAAAGTCGGACAGAGCACTAAACGCCACCAACATAGCTCCCCTCACATTTTGTCACGCTTCATCCATATGCTCACTTCCACCACAGTATTGGTTTACTGTGGAGAGTTGTTGAGCGAGTTCAGATCAAAACTGTTGGGCTGTGGTAGTTCTTCGATGATGGTGGCATGCTTTTGGCTGACTTGCGATGACCTGAGGTGAGCTCAGATAACCGACTTGGTAGTTGTCATAAAGATTCTTTGTGCTCACATTATAGTTTTGTATTAACCATGCTTTCGCCTTCATTTTCAGCTTATGCACGTCTATTCTTAGACAAGTAAAGCGCCATTCATTCTTGTTCTCGCGCTCAATCAGAATCGATATTCTATTCGTAAGAATTTACTTGTTTAAGAATACAATGGAACCGCTGCTGCGACCCAAGTGTTTCGACGCAGATCCTAATTCTCCAGAATCATTGGTTCCGAACCTTCCAAACGTTTCTGGGCACTGTCGAATCGCCCAATCTAAATAAACTCGAAACTCTGATCCATTTTGTGGATGCACCTGTATACGTTTATATCGCTGACTGTCCAGATTACGAATCAGCTATCAGTGCACTTGAAAAGTTGTACGTTCGTCCAAAGAATATAATTTATGCTCGCCATCTTCTACAAACTTGCAAACAAGACACCAGTCA